CATTTCCCAAACATTCCTTACTGCAGGTCAGTAAACTCAGAGCCTATTTTAGCACCACTTGCCCCTTTAAAAATTTGCTTTTTGTCAGTCTGCACTGAAAAGAAGACTATAAAAGAAAAAAGTGCTGTTGTTTAATATAGCAAAGGTAAATCAACTGCCTATATCCTGGAATTTTATTGATTTTTTTAACCTTTTTGACAAAAAGCAATAAAAGAGACCAATTCCCAGTTTCTTATGTTACAGCCAACAAACTGATCAGTGATTACATTATAACTGGATAACATCACCTCTTCGGAATTAGGCTGCTGGCTGAGGTCTCATTATAGTAGTGAGTTCACACCACTATGGTTAGCATTGTCAGCATTTCTATTACAATAGCCTTTTCCTCCTCCCACTTTCTTTCTCAAAGGATTACAATTTGGACATAAAAATTAACTTTAGGTTGAAACCCTCGAGGCACAGTTCCAACTGTTGCATCCAGGACTGATTATTTTTAGAGCATTTAAGACAAAGGGCTTTGGCTGTTTTAAAAGTAAAGGCCAGATCCTGCATTCCTTCCACATTCAAAACTTGAGCATGTTTCTAAAGAACATGGGATTCAGCCTCTGATTTTAAAAAAAAAGTATACCTTTAAAAAAAACTTTGTGTAACTAAAAGTTGACTTTAAATTCAAAATTAAAGTATGTTTAATAATCGTTTTATATTATGTTGCAATTGCTTTTGGAATAACGCGTACAACATAAGCAAAACTGGCAAGCTTATATACTTTACCAAGTGTTCCTTCCTCACAAAGTAAATATACCAGTATTTTAGAAGAAAGATGTAATACATAAAACATGTTAGTTAAGTTCATTGCAATGATCATGTTACATAGTTTAAGCGTCTAAAACGGAATTTAAAAAGACTTCAGTTTGGATCTATTAGCATGGAAGCAGGAAAACATTCGACCACTCAACATGAAGATTTCTGCATCATGCTCTATCTTGGGCTTGCCATGAAGACTCCATGGAAACCTCAAGTAGTTGTAACGCTGCAGCGTGTTTACTAAACATGGCAGACCACCAAAAGTACATCGCACTGATGCTCTGTATTCTTCCCTGGTACTCTGCCTGATTCCAGATCCTTTACAAGGTCTCAGTCTTTTTTTTTTTTTTTTTAATTCCTCTAATAAACAAGGGCTAAGCTGCTTTAATCACCACTTTTCTCCCGTACATTACTGCAGCAGCTCAGCTGGGATGTTATGACTGATGATCCCAAGAGTGAACATCTAGCGAGGGGAGGGAGAGGAGAGCACTCTCACTGGAGGGCCCTGCTACTACACAGCAATAGAAGCCAGTCATGCAGTTTGCCTGACAATTCAAGATTCATCCCACTAAGAAAGGCTTAGCCTTTCAACAACAAAACAATACAACAGACTAAGAGGTTTGGGTCTTTTTTTTTTCCTCTGAGAGACAACCACAAGGAATATAATTGCTTCAAATTATTCCATTAGTTCAGCCTTGGACACATATATAGATGTAACCCCTTTGCATATGACATCTAAAACACTCCAATTAAAGATGCAAGTATATGCAGAGAGAGTGTATCATGGCATTCGATATTCAGGCCCAGCCCTGGCTCCCAGGCAGAGATGTGATGGGGCAACCAGCCCCACTCTCTTTTCCATCACAAAGCATGCCTGCCTCCAGTTCAGCTCTGGAGCACCCAGCTAATTCTCTTTGGTGCTCACTAGACCCCTAAAGATAGGTCATTCACTTCTGAGCCCCACCATGCCAGGACACATGTGGCTGACCATTCCCTATCCCAGTGGTTCCCAACCTTTTTTAGACCGCAGACTGGCAAACTGCGGGCCAGCATACTGCAGACTGGAAGTGACCCGCATACCGTGGACTGGAAGCCAACCCTTTTTTATACTCAATATGAAAAAAGGTTGGCTGCCAGTCCACAGTATGCCGGTCACTTCCGGACTTCCGGTCCGGCAGCCAACCCTCCTGCGGACTGACAGCCAACCCTTCACAGCCCAGGAATGGGCCGCAGCCCGGCAGTTGGGAACCTCTGCCCTATCCCTCACCGAATGGCCAAGCGAGGCAGCCGGCCCTATCCAAATCCAATCTGGCTTCACAGAGCCAGCACAGCCCTGGGTAGAGGGAGCTGCGTGCTTCCCTGGATCCTGCACCAAACAGCACTGCCATTAAACATTCAGCTGTCAGATCGTGGAGGGGTGACAAATGATACTAGAGCTTGACTTACAGATCTGGGGGGAGCCTGCAGTTAGTGCTCTGAAGACAAACAGATTTGGGGGAGAAAGCAACAGGCTTCCTTACTTGGAAAGGGAGTGGGGTTGGCTCTGGGAATCACCAGGCAACCTAGAACCCCTGAGCACTGGTCGGCCCCTTTTCAGAGGCTAAAGCAAAGTGTTTTGCGAGGTTTTGTGGGGGCAAGGGGTTTTGTGCAAAAGCCAGAGGTTTTGTGGGGGCAACAGAGCAGGCTTGTGCTGAGCCCTCCCCGCGGGGCTCTCTTCAGAGGGGCATCAAGCAGAGCAGCGCTCCCCTGGCTATGGGGGGCAGGGGGGTAATGTCCGTGCCCCCCCTCCCCGAAGTGCGCAGCGAGGTGCCTCCTGCCCGGGTGCCTTGCTGATCCGCTAAGCAGCGGCTGCTGCGGGCCAGCGTGAGTCACCCCCGGCCGAGGGAGCATCAGGACTGCAGAGCCCTTGGCAGCCAGGCTTGGTGCC